CTGGGTGAGAGCTGGTGACCCCTTCCCCGCCGACCTTCAGTGCAGGCTGCCTCCAACATGTCCACTGCTCCTGTCCCTGGAGCTTGGTCACCCCACTGAGCTCATCAGCGTGGTTACTGCCAGCCCACTACACTCCCCTCCGGCCACCTCCTCAGGGGCCCACCTTCCCATCTGCCACAGTGGCAGAATCTCTCAGAGACAGGACGTCAGGGATGTAAAGCAGGGACAAAATCACAGGCCACTGGAGAGGGGATTAATGGCCAAGTTCATACAATCTATCAGCTCGTCTCCGCGGTGATGCAAAGATTGCTGAAATGGCAAAGTCACCCTGGCTGTGCTATTTATCTCAAGACGGAAACCAGCATCTGAAAAAACTTCTCCTGGTGCTGTTTCATTTTCCTTTTTTCTTTCCTTTCCTTTTTTCTTTTGCTCCAATTAATCTTTCCATAAAATTTTGCTCTCTTCGATAGAGGTAATTTGTTAAAAGGGTAGCTAAACATGAGCTAACTTGTATGCATCTTATTTTCTGTTTGTGAATAGAGTCCCAAACAAGAGGCCTCGCAACTTACTGGAGTCAACCAGATCTGGGTTCAAATCCCATGTAGGATGCTGCAGTAGCCTCAAAATATTACTCAAGCTCTTGAAGGTACAGTTCTCCCACCTGAAAAGTGGGAACAAAAATTCTACGAGTGGTGTGATGAGTTGAATTTTGTTCACCTCCCCCCCCAAAAAAATGATATGTTGAAGTCCTAACCCCCAGTACCTTAGAAGGTGGCCTTATTTGAAATAGTCACTGCAGATGTAACTAAGTTACAAGGCCAAACTGGAGTAGAGTGGGCCTCATCCATTCCGACTGGCGTCCTTATAAGCAGATGGCCATATGACGACACAGGGACACAGGAGGATGCAACGTGGAAATGCAAGCGGAGATTGGGGTCATGCAACTGCAGGCCAGAGATGCCAAAGATTGCTGGTGACAACAGAAGTGAGCAGGAAAGCATGGCACAGGTTCTCCCCTAGACCCTTCAAGAGCGCATGGCCCTGCCGACACCTTGACTTCAGATTTCTGGCTCCCAGAACTGTGAGAGAATAGACACAAAGTACCACATTGGTGGTACTTTGTAACAGCAGCCCTGGGAGACTATTCGTCACACAAAGGGTGTTGTTAAGATCGACCTGAGTGAGATCAATCAATGCATTGCGCCCAGTACAGGGCCCGGCACAGAGTGAAGACACACGAAATAGTTACTTTGCTCCTGGGGGTCCTTTGCCACCCCTGGAAGGTGGTACATCTGGCTGGCCACCCCCAGGGCTGTCTGGGATTCCTTGTGCCGGGGATGGAATTTCCTGCTATGTCT